CAGAAGTACCTCGGAGTGTTCGACAGCGAGTTCGACGCCGCGAGGGCGTACGACGCGGCGGCGCTGCAGCACTTCGCCGAGGGAGCCAAGCTCAACTTCCCGGACGGCATCGAGCGGCAGCTAAACGACATCTCCAGCGTGAGTGGGAGGCCGTTCGCGACCGCGGGGGCCGGGGGCGCGGCGGCGCCGCGCTCTTGCACGCCGCCGGCGGCCTACCTCGAGGGTAACGCCTCCGCCGCCGCCGCGGCTTTGCCGTCGCCTTGCGCAAAGCGTAGCCGGAAGACCGCCTTCGGCGACCACGATGAGGACGGGTGGGCGCGGGAGGACGGCCCGTGGCACCCCAGCAGGAGATAAAAGGACCAGCAAGAACGGAAAAAAAAGGCGTGCACGAGGAGACGGGAAGGAGGACGGAGGTTTTGAGATGAAGCTTTTTTTGTTGTTGTTAATTTTTTCCTCGCTTGTTGCACCCAGCGCGCGGCAGCTTCGCCGCCGCCGCCCTGCGGGGAGTGTTTTTGCTCGCGACGAGGGTGTGTCTCCGTTTCCTTTTTTTTTCTTGGCTCTCGTTGTGATTCTTTGCGTGCTTTGAAACGTCCATCCTTGGCTCCAGGCCGACACTCCGTTCCACGGCCTTTTCTGCGAGGTGAGGGAGGGAGCAGGGGTGGATCTGTGTGTGGGGTGGTCGGGGTCCTAGCTAGAGACGTGAGGTGGTGAGAAACCGGCCGTCTTTGTTTGGAGCATGTTCTTTTGTTTGAACAGGAAACAAAAAAAACTTGTGCGCGCGGCGTGAGACGGGGCAATTGTTCGGGTTGTTGTTGTCGAGAGCGTTGGTGGCGCAGCATGGAGAAAAAATCAACGACCAGGATTTTCCACGATCCTGGTTTTTGTGTGCGTGTTGTAAGTGCTTGTTTTTTGCAACAACACGTCGGGAATTGATTGATGCTCTGGGGGTAGAGGGCCGGGGGAGGGCCGGGGGGGGGGGGGGGGGTTGAGCGGCGGCTTGGTGTGCGCCGCCCATAACGTCCCTCTCGTGGTCTATACCCTCCTTGTAAATAGGAGTCAGCCCCGTCGGGCATGATGCCGTGCCAAGGAAGAGTCCGTTGTATATAGTTCTGAGTTGACTTGTTGTGTTGGCTCTGCTTCTTGCCGGACCCCGGGGCGGGGGGGAGGGTTAGGGTTTTCTGTGGTGTATCTGCACACTTGGCGTAATTTTCTGTGTAGTTTTTTGGCGTCGCGCGCGCGTGCAGTCGTCGGAGCATAGAGAACGATCTTCTTCTTCTTCCTGTGTGGTCGTTTTATTTCGGCTGGCTGCCTCCGCGTTTTTCTTTTTTCGTCGCGACCCCTGGTGTTCTGGTTGACTGCAGCATCTTGTGTTTGGCAATCTTGGTGGCCTCGAGACTTGCTGCCCAGAATGCGTGAGGGGGGAGAGACTAGGGGGGTGTTTTGTGGGGGGGGGGAGGGGGGGGGGGACGGGAGTTCACCCAAGAAAACAGGGGTTCTGTTGTTGTTGTTGGCTGTTGCTGGTGTGCTTGAAAGTGCTGGTGCATGTGTTCGCGAAATAACGAACGTACACACGCGTGTTTGTGTGTGTGTGGGCAGTATCGGGGTGATTTTTGTCGTGTGATGATGGCAGCAGCAGCAGCAGCATCTCTTTCCCCAACCGTTTCTTAGGTGCCACGCCCGTTTGTGTTGCTTCGCTCTGTCGCAATGCGCTCGAGGCGTGCAGGGATTCGAGGAGGGGGGATGAGGCGGTCGCGGTGCCCCCATGTTCAGTCAAGAGATTGACGAAAATAACCATCTTTGCACGATAGACGCCCCCCGCGCCCCCGCGCCCCCCCGCCCCCCCGCGCGACGACATTAAGATTATGCTGTAAAACAGTTTGCACGCTTGTGAGTGGTGGGTGCTTGTCTTCTTCTCAACCGTTTCATTTGTTGCTGGGTTTTGAGGGCACGTTTGTATGTGTCCGTACGTACGATTGGCATGTACTACACTAGCTCGCCTAGCGCTTTTATTTTCTTCTTCTCTCTATCTTGCGTTGGTTGTACTTTGCTCTGTGGAGGCTTGTTCTTGATGTTCTTTGTCGGTGTGGCCTCTTCTTTTTCTTCTTCTGTTGCTCGCCTGCATTCGCTTCCTAGAGACCACGTTTTCGGTATCATTTAGGTGTTTTGCTGGCGTCGTGAGCTTGTCAGTGTTCATTGCGTCGTTTCTGTTGGGTGTGTGATGTGTGGAGGGGATAAGATGATCAATACCGACAGAGCTGCTGTCGGGGTGGTGCGTCTATTCTTCCGTCTGATCGTGTCAATAAACCCCTCATTTTGTTTTTCTCGTCTTCAGCGCTTTAAGCACGGAGACGTGGAAGAAACAGTGGTGTCGTCGATAAATGAGCAATGGGGTACCGCTTGTTTTCGAGATGGCGCGAGGTGAAGAACGAACGAAAAAAAAAACTCGGCGTTCTTGGCTTGGCAAGCAGAGGACGACAGGGGTTGGGTGTGCGGGGGGGGGCATTGGAGTGGATATATTTTCGGTGCGACGTTGGTTGTCTGTAGCAAAGGTGTTTGTTGTTCATTGTTTTGTTGCCTAGTATTATATCGCTGCTGTAGTCTTCTTGGACTTTCGCTCTTCTCGACGACGTGATGTGTGAGAGCGACGGGTCAACAACATCCCGCCGCACTCTCAAGCTTCCTCTTTTTATTTGGTGCGCGTGTTGGGCGAGAGAGAAGAGAAGTAACGGGGACTGCTTTTTCTGGGTGCATTTTCCATTATGAGTTCGTCGTCTATGAATACATTAAACTGCCACAGGGGGTAAGCTACAGCGCCGACGCGAGGTGATCGGTGGGTGCGAAAGATGTCCGATGGAAGTGAGAGCTCATTTCTCGGCATGTTGGGCTGTTTTTGTTTTTATGTTCCCAAGGTTTCTTCGGGCTTTCCCCGTGTAGGTGTGCGGTATGAGAAGACGGAGGTGTTGGGAGTGATGGTATGTCCCTATTTCCCGCCCAAGGTTTAAGGTTCTGCCTGCTACCCTACCGCTGCTGCTGTTGTGTGAGTGCCCCGAGTGTATGTTTTCGTGGGGGGCCGTGTGCGTTGAGATATCTTGTATACCACCTTTTTCCGGCTGAACGAGAAAAATATGAAACTATCTGTGGGAAGCTAGTAGGGCAGGATACGAAGGATCGTCGGCTCTTACTGCTGCTGCTGCTGCTGCTGTTACAATTTGGTCGTTTTGTTGCTGGTTCTGGTTGTCGTTTTTTATTATAGAGGGAAGAGAGGGAGAAAAAACAAAAAACGAGAAAAATAATACAAGAAAACGTTGACTGGAATTTTTTACTGCAACGTGGTGAGCCTTTTCGTACTCGAAAAGGGGGGCACGCACTGTCTCCTCCGAAGGCAGTTTGAAGAGCATCGTGCTGCCGTGCCAGCGCACCGGCCATGTCATTCCATCCGCACACGACGTGCGGTTTTCTTCGGAACCAACTGCGTTGGAGGGCGGATGCATGCGGTTTGCAGTCCCATAATTGGCGGTAGTCCCACGGTTGATTTTTGCTAAACTAGCTTTTCCGCGAAGGTGGTTTCGTCTCTCTTCCGTTCCGTGATAGAGACGTTCGTCGGTAGAGGGAGGAAAAGGTGGAGGGAAGAACACTTCAGAAGCAGTCTTTTCATCATACAGTCAGCAGTCCCGGCCCCATGTGTTTTGTTTTTGGTGTAGAATCGACGACGTTTTTTTCACTAAAGATATCATCATGATGGGGGGGGGGGGGGGGAAAAATTCAACCCCCACCAAAAATGCGGCACCCCGCCCGCACGACCCCCAACCCCG